ATTTACCTGTGGAGGTGGTAATCTGTATCCAGCTTCCACTCGCCTGATAACCTTGTGAAAAATTATGAAAAGTTTTAATTAATAAAGTTTAATTTACAAATTTACATTGGTAATTCATTCATAAATTCATAAAGAAAAACCTTCGATCATGATTTCTTCAACTTAATTATTTAGAAAAAATCAAATAATTTAAGAAATTAGTCGGTGAGGCTCAGGAAATATTGATATCCGATGGGCATCAATATTTGCCCCTTTATAATAATAAACCCCAGCTTTGAAAGAAACTTTTCATTTAAAAATTCTAGGAAAAGAGACAAATCGTCTTTATCACAAGTTGAAATTCTCGTAAATGAAATCTTGCCGCTGTTATGAATCAATTAACTCTCTTTTCTAAGAAGTTTATGATGATGTTCGTTATCTCGCGGTATCACTTACATCGAAGTTGTCCCAATTCCAGTAAGGTCTGTCACAATATGACGTGATTTCCCACATTAGAATGCCAAAGCTCCAAACATCACTAGCTGAACTGAAGGTTCGATGCTGAAGCGCTTCCGGGGCTGTCCAACGAACTGGAATCTTACCCCCCTTTCGGGTAATTGAAACAAAGACAAGCATTTGTAAAGGTTGCAAGTCACATGGTTTCTTCGCTAAAAATCTATACCTTCGCTTAGTACTGGCCTCTACTAATGGTGTTGGAAAAGATACTTAAAGATCAGCAGGACACTTGATTAATGGGAACAAACTGGGACCTCACGTTGTGGGTCACTTTCTTTGAAATCGCACCTAGCCTTCAGATGAACTTCCAAAACATGATCAAATAATGGCGGCCGCGAAATCTGTCTCTCGTAACGAACTGAAATTTGGCTGGGTAGGTAAGAGAGTCACAATGTACCCGAACATGTGAAAAATGAAATATGAAAATTTTGATCTCAGGGGACTAAGTCTTTCACTCGAACAGAAAGCAAACAAGAAAGAGCATGAAACAGTGCCTGCTTCACTGGGTGACGTGAATCACTCAAAAGAAAGGTAAGACTGTGAAATAGGAAACACGTGACCTCTACTGTCATACTGACATAATGCGTCACATTAATCGCAAATGGTAGCGCGCAACCTAACGTCATTGTTGATTTTCAAAAAGTCAACATTTACCTGTGTCGTGTATTCAGCTTGTGCCTCATCGTCTTCAGCCAGTTCTCTTGAAAGACCAAAATCTGATACTTTACACAGCATGTTTTCGCCCACAAGAACATTGCGAGCAGCCAGATCCTAAGTAAAGACAAACATAATTACAACTTCTCGGTACTCAATAACAGCTAAATTCAAAACACTGAAATGCAGAATAAGCCAAAATGCGTTTAGATCTTGAAGAACAACGCCCTTCTTTACGTTAAAATCGTCACTTTTACATGGAGATTATCCCACTGAAACTGAGGCTAACTAAGAATTCTGTGAGGCACGAAGATCGCTGACCTCACACTTCTGTGGCGCGCGTTTCCTTCTGCAACTGATGTCTCATGAGAATTGAATTTTTGGTTGGTTATCTTCTTGGCCACGAAAGTGTCACTCTCCAGGTTTATGTTTTTTTCTCCAAATAAATCACTTAATTCCAAATTCCCAACCCACCTGGAAACAGTGGACGAACGACCTCGTAGTTTGTGTACCAATGTTGACATCCAGGGCCCAGTTGTAGAACTGGCGGGTAACGCTACCCAGCGGATAGAGATTTATCCGACGTATAGCTTTATCCAACCTTCGAACAACTGGGGCCAGATGTGTAAAATTCATATTAACCAAATTAAGGAACGATACAATGAAAACAATGTATAAAGATACATATATACCCGATGAATGAAGTTTAATTCTGAAAGGTACTTCATTCCGTGAGCCACGCCTCTGGCCATTCCAGTCAACTGAAGGCTCGTCAGCTGATCCTTTCGGTCCTATGAGGAAACCAGAATATTCGGCACCGTTAGATATTTTAACTCCTGAGGTAACTGGGATCTAATTTCTCTTTACAGCATTGCTGCTGAATCAAACATTAAGACCACGAGAATATGGAAAATTATCACAAACTAAAAAGCCTCTTGATTGTTAAACAAATTCTCCTTGTCAGTACCATAAGAAAAGTAAAAGGAGCAGTACGGAGAACAAACATGCAGATGAGAGGACGTGAAGGGTTTAGTCAAAGCGAATGATGGACACTACTTTAAAAACACTACAATTACTGCCCCAAAAGGTGCCTGGCACGATATGAGTAGTTACTCGTAGTTACGAGCGCTGGTCACCCAATCAAAATTTGCTTCTTCGGTCTTTTGATTAAGTTTGAGAAGTGTTTTGTTGTTGTCGTTGTCTTTGTTAGGAGAGAATTCTTAACCTTCACCAAGCGAGGTCAAATACCAGCTCCTTCTTCCAAGCTATCATTGACAAAATATAACTGAAAAAAACAGATGTTAAAAGGGAACCTTTAAATAGTGATCCAATGATCCACTTTTCAGGAATTCTGTTAAAATCATCATTGGTCTACCTAAGGGCATAGCAAATAATTCAACTTTAAAATTTTGTGTCAATATAAATAACAGCATATTTCAATTTTGTAAGTAACTAAATACCCTCGTGATTTCATTGTCGAGTCTCTAATACAGATTAATCAGTTCTCCACTCACTTCTTGTCACCACTCCGATGAGGCGGATAACATTTGAATGATCAAACTGGCCCATTAGGGACGCCTCGGAGAGAAAATCTTTCTGATTTTTCTCACTGGAACCAGGCTGAGATGGAGAAAAAATGATCATTGATTCAGCGCTATCTATGATAGGATGAAGTATTTCATTTGAGAAAATGAAGTAACGAATGCAAAGCCACGCGTATCTGCGAAAAATGTATTGAGTTAGAAAGATTCAAGCTGTACAGCATATATATCATCGAAGAAAGTATGACACAACTTACCCTCAAGACTTTGACAGCAACCACTCCTTTGCCTTCACGAGACTTTAATATTCCTCTGTAGACATCCGCAAACTCCCCTAAAAAAGAAGAGACCAATTGAAAGCGAATATATGTGTGACAATAATATATATATATACATACACCGTTTTCAAAAACGTTGCCATTTGAAAATATATGTCAAATATACAGAGGTTTTCTATTCTTATCAAAAAGGTGTTGATAGAAGAAATTAAAGGAACAATTTATCATAAGGAAAGTACAATAGCTGCTGTCAAGAGTTCCAAAGTATTTGTTTCACCTTCGCAAAATTTTTTCGCTTCAAGTGCCCATTTATTCAGATACATTATGTAGATCGAATTAATGAAGGTGAAAAAAAGGGAGAACGATTCAACTGTGGTCAGTTAGACAAGTTTTCCGGCTAAATACGTGTCTGATTGCATAGATTATGAATCAATATACGCTTCCTGTGTGGTCCCGAGGGAAACAGTAAGTTTTGTTTTCCCTCGAGTCCTGATATTTCCCGAGACGAAGGGGAGGGAAACATCAGGACTCGAGGGAAAACAAAACTAACTTGTTTCCCCAGGGGCCTGTACCTTCAGTGCTTTTTTATATATTTAGACTTTCCCTTAAAAAATCATTTAGCAAAAACATGCTGTTGTATTCGGCACGCGGGCAACAACTGCGCAACTGTATCCCGGTCGGGATTGGTAGGGATACATTTGAATTTGATCAGAAGCACGTGACCAAGAATCAAGCAATCACAGCGCTCGTTTTGTAAAGTGGAAGTCTATAACAATAATCATTGTTCGAAATAACTTGACGATGAGCGACATAGGACTACGCAGTTACTTGGAAAATTCACAAAGGTTTTGTTGCATCTTTCAATAATAATAATAATAATCACAAAACAAAAATTTGATAAAAGTAGCATTTAGTGGTAAAATCTTCCAGATGTACGCATCGAACAGTTCTACTCTAAGTCGTACCGTTGTACATCAGAAATGGGCAAATTGCACTATTCTTCTAGCCATTTCTCGATGAGATGGTATTCATACGGTCAGACCTACTTTTTCACAGTTATGTTTGACTTTAACGGCTATAATTAAACAGTCCTATGACACCAAAGATGGCGCTGAATATAACTAAAAAGTTATATATATATATATATATATATGTATGTATGTACATATATATTTAAATTCTCATGATTTGCTTGAGATTTCAATTTCTAACGGCTTCCTATGCGTCAAGTACCAGGTATGTCGAGCATAAACAGAAAGCATACTCCGTCGTTGTTGTTCACATTCCACAAAATATATTCATTTTGTGATTCCACGTGGCCTCGACGAAATCACGAGGAATCGCTTTATTATTTAGCTTTGTTCTTGTTTTGTGACCTTACTGGAATGGACATCTTCTGATATTCCACGGTTAAAATGCTTTTATATAGCCATGAGGTTGCAGCTTTGAGTTTACAAGCTACACATTTTCTTTCGACGTGGCTCAACAGATTTGGGGAATAGTAGTTCGGGTGATGAATGACTCCCGAAACAAAGGTACGTACAAAAATGTTATTATTGATGTTATTGATTACTATTGTCAATGGCACCGCGCAAAGGCTGGTGTAAGACAATGTTAGTATATACAGCGACTCTCACACGATTACAAAAGAGATATTGTTCCTTTGATGTGCAACATACATGCACCGTTCATCACCTTTTTGATGAGAAAACAAAAGATATATATACATATATAAATATATATAAAGTGAAAAATTTTGACTTTCGTAAAACAGTGCTCAATACATAGGAGTAGAGCGATGTATATATTTTGGGAGGAAAAAAGGAAAGAGACAAATAAACTACAAGTTCATCCCTACAGGCCTGTTTCGTGGTTTCCCCCTCATCTGGGAATCCCCTGATGAGTGGGCAACCACGAAACAGGCCTGTAGGGATGAACTTGTAGTTTATTTGTCTTTTTCCTCGCACAATATATATATATATATATATATATATTTATGTATGTATATAATTGTGGGAAATTTGAACTATATATATAATATATATATATATGTATAATAAATATTATGAGAGGAAAAAAGGACGTAACTACATTTCCCGACAAGCCTGTTTCGTGAATCGCTTCACTCTTCAGGGGTTTAATGCGTGAGTGAAGCGATTCACGAAACAGGCTTGTCGGGAAATGTAGTTACGTCCTTTTTTCCTCTCATAATATTTATTCTGCTCTGCTTCAACGTATTGAGCACTGTTCCACGCGAAAATCGACTTGCAGACTTCCTATATATGTATAATATATATTTTCCAATTGCAACGATGAACACACATAATCTCATAAGGATTTATATACACAAAAAGTAAAACATCTACCTTGTCCGATAACTCCTTCGAGTTTAATGTCGCTTCTTTTAAGTTCAGTCGTAAATGATGTCAAAAGTTCTTGCACGTCACTGTAGTCGTTTGGATCGATATAAGTTCTCTGGTCTCGGGGATTTGTAGTTTGAAGTTCACTTCCTAATGGTGGAAAGTTTCAAGAAATATTAACTTACGTCACGCCTTTAAACATATTAATTATGGTATTTCACCAAGGAAGAAGCGCCGTTTCTGTGCATAAATGACAAACAGTGCTCAAAATTGTCATTAGTTTGCTGTCACTGCACATTGCCCTAGATTAAATCATAACTGCACAATTCCATTTGTATAAGTGACTTCGCTAGAGTAGTAGTACGTAGCGAAAGAGAAGAGAACGGAAAATCATGAAATATCAAACGTAATTGAAATTTGTAATTGCTCAGGTGGTTAGAAAGATGCACAAAGGCTAATTGGTCGAGTGTAAATCATATCACGAGAAAATGCAGACATTATTTAAATCAAGTGTGAAAATATTAAAACGATAATTCTCCAAAGAAAATAGAAACATTTAACAAGATAATAAGCCCGAGATTCCCATTGTGTCATAGTTGACGAGGGCTGAGCCAGAACCCAGTCACACGCACAGAAATCGAAAGCGAATGTTTGTTTTTTCGTAAATTTGCTAGTCGTTCAATTCTGATCCAAAGGAAAGGCTCATGCTTTTATTTCATTGTATTTACAGCCACACTCTGTTGGGGTTTTCACTTTAATAACTGTCTATCGAGTAACAAGTAATAACTAATGTAGCCAATCAGAATGCAGCATTTGTAATAGAACGCCAGTAGATTTATACTATTACCGAATAGTCTTACCCAGCTGAAGGGCTTCCATATAGGCTTTCTCTACACTCTTTTTACTTCTCCTAGTTAAACACAGATAAATATATTGTATCATACTCAAGATAGAAAGGGGGATGATAGCTCCCATTTCACCGAATGGAAGACCAGATCTCAAGGTAATTTTCAAAACACCTCATTTTGGAAAGACTCACCTTCTACGAGACACAACGCAGGCAACAATGACCACTATCAGTATGATAAGTAGCAGTGCTCCTGCTCCTCCGGCTGCATAAGCAATTAGCCGCAATTTCTTCGAGTTATCTGTGGCCATTCAATCAAAAAATCAATCGATTAATCTCTCAATTACTCGGTAAAATTATCAGTGCAGAAGATACGAGAGAACTTTCAAAAGCAAATACCTCCAATTAAAGTTACTTTATAACTAATCATTTTTCTAATTCCGGCTTTACTTCCTCTTTCAATTTATCTTTCTGTCAAGTTCTCCTGAATTCCAGTTATAATTTCTTCAGCCTTAGTTGCAGCTATGTTGGTGTCATTTTGCCGCAATGCACGGTAAATAAATTTGGAAATGCAGCGTTTTCCTTTTGGCTGATTTCATTTTGCGCTGAAGTCACAATAATGCCTGGAGGAAAGATATCAAGGCCGGTAGGGTCTAACTGAGAGGGTAAGATAAGTGAGATAAGTAGGTATTATTAATTCGATTAAACAGTAATTTACCAACCGTTTCTCAATGTAAAGATCTTCACGCCAGCCTGTCCCTTACCGTTGTCGTTTACGGCAAATACCTGAGAAGGAAAGAGTCAAATGAATGATTTATTTAAAGATTTCTTTAAACAATTTTCCAGACGACATATACTTAATTTACAAGAAAAAGCGGGGTGATCTTTGTTACTGAATTTAGACCACTCAACGAGTCGATCGTGCATGGCATTATTCAGACCAATTTTTTAATCAAGTCGTGTCGTTTATTCCTAAAATACGTTTTCCACTAATGAAAAATAATTCTTAACAATATTCGTCTCACCATAAACTCGAAGATATCTGTGAATCTGGACAATGTAACAGGTTAGCTTCCGCCATCAAAAACCAGGCTACGGTATTTTCCCTAGCTACTTAAAACCCACTTCCTTTTTCATTAGTACTAATTCTTTGATCAATTCCACCTTTTTCTTTTTTCGACGGGTTAGGTTGGTGAAATGGCAAAAAGAAGACCTACCTCGAATTTATAAGTTTTTCCTGCCTTTAAATCAAACTGTATTTCCGTTCTTTTCGTCTGACGACTCTTGGTTTCTGACGAATCATTTGTATTTATGTACGTCACGTGATACTCCTTGATAACTCCATTTTTTCTCTGCAGTATCCAAGATACAACAACAGCTTTATCCGGTTGTTCAACAGACACTTCTGGCATACCTG